TGTGTCTGCTTATTTTAGCCTACCGACAAAACTATCAGAACTGTAAGATGCACCACATTGCTCCTCACAGTCCCTCTGCACTAGCTGAGGAGTTGTTAGAATCACAGAATGTTTGGAGTTGGAAGGCACCTTAAAGTTCATTGAGTTCCAGCTCCCCTGCATGGGATCCTCTTCTACGAGGATCTGCTCTGTGATCTTCTCAGGCACAGAGGTGAGGCTGATAGGTCGGTAATTCCCAGGGTCCTCCCTTCTACCCTTCTTAAATATGGGCATAACATGTCCTTTTATCCAGTCACCAGGGACTTCACCTGACTGCCATGACTTTTCAAACATCATGGACAGTGGTTTTGCAACTACATCCGCCAATTCCTTCAGGACTCTGGGATGTGTCTCATCAGGTCCCATGGACTTGTGTATCTTCAGGTTCCTTAGATGGTCACAAGCCTTATCTTCACCTGCACTGGGGGGAGTCTTTGTCTCTCTGGTTCCCATCCTGTGGGCCATCAACATGAGAGTTGTGAGGAGAGCGGTTGCCAGTGAAGTCTGAGGCAAAAAAGTTGTTGAGAACCTCAGCCTTCTCCTGGTCTGTTGTTACCATTTCACCATTGTGGCTCATCAGGGGGGGTTACGCTTTCTATAACCTTCCTTTCCTGTTTTACGTACCTGTAGAAGCCCTTCTTGTTTTTCTTAACAGCTCTTGCCAAGTGCAGTCCTGGCTGTGCCTTGGCCTTCCTGACCTCATACCTGCATAACTGGGCAGCATCCCTATACCCTACCCAGGATACCCTCTTCCACTGCCTGTGTAGGTCCATCTTGCCTTTTAGTTTGACCAGCAGGTCTCAGCTCAGCTGTGCTGGTCTCTTGCTTCCTTGCCCGGTTTCCTACACCAGGGGATTGAGACCTTTTGCACTCTGTGGAAAGCATCTTTAAAGATCTGCCAGCTCTCTCCTGCTCCCTTGTCCCCAAGGGCCGTTTCCCATGGGGTCCTACATAATGTCAGTTCTGACCCACTGGCAATGCTGAAGATGTCCTGCTCTAATCAACAAACCTTGTATGAGGTGTTATCTTTTATTTATAACCAAATAAAATTAACTTACAAATTGAATGTTAGCTTTCTGTGTTTTCTATCAGATACTGTGAGCAGCCATGTACATGTGTAAGACACATCTGTGGTTAATTTTAATGGCGGTGTGAACTCCTGCGCTTTTTGTGGAGCATAGGTTTAGCAAACCTCTTATTTCTTCATGACAAAATGTGTAAATGTAGTAGTATATTGGGGGAGATTTGCCTGATGCATACTGAGATATGTGTATTCCTCAAAACCCAGGTATGACCTCATTATAAGGCCCAGTAACACAGGCTGAGTACATAATTATCATATACATTGGGCTCCATCTTGTTTGTATGTTTATTGGCTTATATGGCAGTAAATATACTTACTATTTATTCTTGAATCTTCTTATATTTGTGTTGGTTAAAACATTCCTTTAATACTGATTACAGTCTACTCTAAATAATCTGGTTTTATTTCAATGCTTTTAGCGAGCATGTAAAAGACCAGCATAAAAAAAAAAAATAAAAATTAATCTTGTCCTTTAAAATACAATTGTATTTATTCCAATATAAATACCTAGATTGTCCAGATACTAAGTGCAAAAGCAAACAATTCTCTCTTGAATTGTGAGAGAAATATGGCTTTTTCTTTGGTTGTAGTTAAATTAACATGTTATGCTTTAAATCCTGGGCCAGCTTTGTGGAATGTTAGCAGTGGCACATGTGTGAAACTTTTGAGTTTAGCAAGGTGACAAGCTCAGGTGTTTTTAGTAAGGAAGGGCACCTGACAAGCATCCGTTTTGGAGTCTCTGTTTCCTTAGCTATGGAGAGCAGTAAATCTTGTCCATTCCTTACAGGGTATAAGCATATGATCTTTAGATTTGTGGTGTTTTAGGCCCAATATGTGGTAAAATGCATCTTTTCACATTCTTGTTTCACCCACTTGGGCCCTTCCATGATGCATCCTGTTCTAAAGAAAAAACCTCATCAGTTTTTCAAAGCTATATCTCTTAGAACCCTGACCTATGGTTCGTGCATTTGCTGTCCTGAGAAATGCTCAGCTTCACATAGATTGTTACTAAGGAATTGACTAAGAAAAATGCAAGGAAAGTTGTGGAGTAATGGAAGAAAAAACTAGAGAGGTGTTGGGAGCTAGCAACCTAGCGTCACAGAGCATATCAAAGTCTGTACATTGTCTTTAAAAATGAGACTGTTTGTAATACTGAAATTGCATTTGCATGTCAGTGAGACATCTGGCATTGGGGAAGAAAAAGGTGATGAAACCAGTGTCCTGGTGCTTTAAGCTGTTCTGCTTTTCATCAGTTCACATGACATTGCTCATTGTTTTTCTTTTGAACAAAATTACCTAAAATAAATAATGTGGTTTCTGGTTTCCTTTTAGCTTCTTTAAAGTTTAGATTAAAACATTAGAAAGTAAGTACTAACTGTCTTTACATTTCTGCTGAACTGTGTAATAAAGCCTACATTGTAAAGACAAACACAAAACCTGCATATTCTATTGTGGTGGCAGCTAAAATGAGTACAACAAACAGAAATTTGGGTGGTACAGTTGGAGTGTTTTATTCTAAGATATTTGTAGACCAGACATACAACAGAAAGCAGGAAGTTATATTTAATTGTTCCTTTTGGTTGCTGCAATAGAAATAAACTAGTCCCTTCTCAAATACTGAAGATCTCAGTGCAAGCAAAGCGATTTGCTTCAGACTAATCTGAATGATGGACAACAGCGTTCAAGGCTCTTTGAGGAGAACTGAGGAAGTAAAAACTGTGAAAAAGGAAGATGATGCACTGAAGAGCATTGCAAGGTACCGCTTCCTGATACAGTTGCAAGGGGACCAACATCTGACTGAAGCAACAGGAAAAGAAAATAACTGGCATTTCAATATTATGCGGAAAATAACAGTCTTGAAGCACTGTGGTTGCTGGAGAAGAAGGTTCCTGTATGTTGCTACTGGTTTGTTTAGAAAATCTAGTTAGGCATGGTGGAGAAAGGAATTCTTGCAAATTCATACGATGCCAGGGTTTTTGAATTAAAGTTAACCTGCAAAACAATGTGGAAACAAATTAAGTTCAGTTGTGTGATCAGCTCAGTAGATGCTGGGCAGGCCCATTTGTATCTCAAAATAAAAGCTGGTAAGAAGAGGAATAATTTTATTATTATTTACATGCTCCCTTGGTTATATTTACTTCTTTCTTGCCTGCTCAGTGTCTTAACTATTTTTATATAGAACTCTATATTGAACTTTTTCTTATATGTACTTCTACTGACATTTTCTCCAGATGCCTGAATTTCCTTTTCTTTGAAGAATACAGATTATTCACATGCTGCCTAAGAGGAAGATCTTTTAAAAACATGAACATTACATCAGTCAGTGGACCTGCTTTTTAACACTGCTACTTTTTATGATTTATGTGCTCAGTATGCTCTTTGGATGTGACATTGAGTGAAACTGAGAACATAAGATTAAAGGTATGCTTATAGTCAGCATTTAAATATCAACATATGTCATCTGGGCCTCCAACACAGGAAGGACATGGAGCTCTTGCAGCTAGTCCAGAGAAGGGCCACAAAGATGATGCAAGGGCTGGAGCACCTCTCCTGTGAAGACAGATTGAGACAGTTGGGGCTGTTCAGCCTGGACAAGACAAGGCTCTGGGGAGACTTTATAGTGGCCTTCTGGTACCTGCAGGAGCTACAGAAAAGCTAGGGATGGGCTTTTCACAAGCTTGTAGTGAGAGAACAAGGGGTAACAGATCAAAACTGGAAGACAGGAGATTTAGGTTAGACATTAGAAAGAAATTCTTTAGTTTGAGGGTGGTGAGACACTGAAGCTTGCCCAGGGAACATGTGGATGTCCCATCCCTGGAAGGGTTCAAGGCCAAGTTGGATGGGGCTTTGAGCAGCCTGGTCTAGTGGGAGGTGTCCCTGCCCATGCAGGGGGGATGGATCTTTAATGTTCCTTCCCACCCAAACCATTCTATGATCTAGCAAGTAAGAAGACAGTGGCAGTAAGGGAAAATTCTATCAGTGTTCTCTTTGCTTACCTTCTGTTTACTGTAAAGGTAAGTAAAGAAACGTTTCTCCTTGAGAAACTCCCTGCTGAGGATCTGGCCAGTAACATGTTTATTTCTCCAGAAGAATTCACACACACAAATGGGAAAAGAAGATATGCTTTCACTCAGCCTTTCTATTTTTTCTTCTTCTTTTTTTAGAGTCAAGTGCTTTTTTAAAAAAAAAAAAAAAAAAAGGCTGCAAAAGTGACCTAAGTTCCCTTTCTCCTGTTTCACCAATACAGAAATGAAACTCAAACATTGACATGACTTTTTAAATTTATTTTTTTAAGGTACGTTCAGTATTTCATTACCTATCTAGTACATTAGTGGGAGTAAAGCAAATTTTTTCTGAGATTAACCTACTGAATTTCATACCATGTTTTTTTTTTTGTTTAAAACAATCTTGAATAAGTCACTTAAAATTTATTTAGCGCAGCTGAGATCTATGCCAGCGAGCACACTGAACTTGGCAGCCTGTCAGCTTCCTCTGAGGAGAGAGAGTCTAGTTGCTCTCGCTACATTATACTCTTTTAGCCAGTGATGTTGTAAGAACGTGGAATATGAGCACACATTAACACACATTATGTGTTCCTGGCAGGTACTGAGATTATCACAGTTTTCCTGTTGATGTCAATCTCCAGGTATTCTTAGAAGGCAATCAGATATCACTTTTTCATTACTGAGGTTACAGACCGCTGGTGTATTCTGCCGAGGATGGCAAACTCGCCGCTGTAAAAGAGACTGAGAAAACTCCCATGGACTTAACTCAGCTGCTGGTTGAGCACCAAAGGTACATTCTCTACAAATAAGCTGAAAGCTTCAGCAGGGTTTTGTCATCCGTGTTTATTCTAAGCCATAAAGTTGTGTTTAAGGATGGGCATGATGCTGTAATACTCTTATCATGCAGTTATATTCTTTGTAGGCATACCACTTCCAGTGAAGAAGTGACTGCTAATTTACTCTTTAAAGAAAAAGGATGCTTGGAAATGTGTGTCTTAATAGGGAGGAAAAAAAATATATATATATTGGGGTGTTGACATGCCAATTATTGTAATTTCCAGCATTTCTACAATGCTGGACATTTCTACAGGCCCAGCTTGCAAACTCCTTCAGAACAACACACAACAGTAGCCCTCCTGTTCGTAGGCACATGGCCAAGCTGTGCTGTCCTTACCACCACTCAGCTGCTCGTTGTGGCTGGGCCT